TTTTTCATGGGATTAAACTGTTAGGGTTAGGGTTAGGCGTCGCGATCACCTTGCAGAACGAATACATTAGCTGGGTCAGACAAATTCTTTCATATTCTTGAAGAGAATAATTATGTATAGATTTTGGTTGATGAAGAGTCAAAATCGAACCATTGGTCGCCAATTTTCCTAAAGGTGATCCAGTGATTGCAATATTGGATAATAGTTTTCTGTAGTTGATGATTTGGAAACATCAATTCTGTTTATGTTCTTGGAGATTAAGGCTTCTTTGATCACGTCAACTAAATAGTTTCCAGATTCGTCGTGATATGGATTTTGCTTTAATATTTTGATATAGCTAAGTGTCTTTTCTTGATTATAAAATTCATCTTGGCTCATTTTGGGTAAAAATAGAACCTTAATGTAATAATTAACGTAATGCAGAATTGATGGTGTGAAGACCGCACAAACTCATGCGCTGATTTTCATAATATAACTTCCTGTTACTCTTCCATTTGAACCTTTAGATTTCTTTCCTAACTGAGGTTTACGTCTAGCCATAACAAATATTTAACAAATCAATTAATAAATATTAATAATAATTTGTTTATTATTAAATATTAATAATATTATTAAATATAATAAATATTAATAAATATTATTAATAAGCAAATACTTAACAAATCAAACTGAACTGTTGCATTGTTCTTTATTCACAAAATTAAAATTTGAACAAAACCCGATTAAAAATTTGAATATTGCTTGCGTAATGGAAATTGGTGTAACTTAGTAACGCTAATAAAATTGAATTAAAAATGGTTAAATTTTTTTTTTCACTAAAATGACCATAAATCCTTATTAAATTAACTATTAAAATTTTTTTTTGCCACGATCCTTTTCCAATCGACTAAAAACAAATTTCATTTTTTACTTTTTCGCTATACATTATAGTTTTCAAGTTTACCGCGGAAAACAAAAATGTCCATATATATATATATATATATATATATATATATATATATATATATATATATATATATATATATATATATATATATATATATATATATATATATATATATTTAAGTGACATCTTTAATAGTAAAACCATTAAAATAACTGTTCAAAAAAATTATAATGAACGTAACAAAATGATGTCATTGCAACATCAGATATTCAACATTTTTTAATTTTACAAAAAGTGGTTTCCAATGGCGAGTCATCAATGTATTGCAGTTGTCAAAATTTAAAACGCTTTCTTTAGATTTTGAACATTGCACATGTTGTATTTCAATGGCTCAAATTTTTTTTGTGTAGTTGTTTGAAATAACAGAAAGCATTTTAGGGTTCTCCCTGTTTATTTTACCAGTTGGCTTTGTAACATTTTTATGTTCATAAATTTGTGTGAAAATCTTTTTTCTTATTTCACCAATATAAAATGCACCACATGTGCAATCAAGTTGGCACACTCCTGGATGACTATTCGGAGGCAGTTTAGACTCGTTATGGCAAAGTATTGATCAAGGAATTACCAAAACTGAAGACTGTTTTAACGCCAACTTTATGAAATAATTGTAACAGTTGTTTTATCAAGTGGCATTGATGGGTATAAATTAATAACATCAAATGACACTTTAACTTTGTCATTAATAAACCATTCTTTTGCTGTTGATACAAATGAAGATAAATTTTTAACATGACATTTATTTTTATTTAAAGTTGGTTGTATGATCTCAACAAGATGTTGCAAAAGTTTATGACGTGGTGTACCGATTTTTGAAATTATTATTCGCATTGGACTTTTATGACCTTAATACAACCATATAAATGGGGGGGAATTGCATCTGAAGGATATTTTTTTTTTTGAAGGATCTGAAGGATATATTTGATATCGTATATGATGTTCTAGCGCTGATAATATATGTATATATATATATATGTTTATATATATATATGTTTATATATATATATATATATATATGTATATATATATATATATATATATATATATATATATATATATATATATATATATATATATATATATAAAGCAATTAAGTTAATGCGGAAGTACATTAAATTTTATTGTTTTTTAAAAAACCCGCAATAATAACAACTAGAAAGTTTTTTTTAATTAATGGTGATTTTGTTGATGTTTTGTTAAAATATATTTTTAAAACATCCGCAGAGTGTTGCTACATCAACTATCTTTTAGCCTGCCGCTACAAGGAAGTGTTGCTAAATAGACTATCTTATAACCTGACTTGCAACGGAGTGTTGCTACATCGAGTATCTTATAGCCTGACTCGCAACAGAGTGCTGCTTCATCGACTGACAAATAGCCTGACTTGCAAGGGAGTACTATAGTATATATATATATATATATATATATATATATATATATATATAAATATTTATTTATATATATATTTATATATATATATATATATATATATATATATATACATTTAATTTATATATATATTTATATATATATATATATTTATATATATATATATATTTATATATATATATATATATATATGTATATATATATATATATATATATATATATATATATATATATATATATATATAAATATATATAATATATAGTATATATATATATATATATATATATAAATATATTCATATATATATATATATATATATATGTATATATACATATATACATATATATATATATGTATATATACATATATACATATAGATACATATGTATATGTACTGTATATATATTATAAATATACATATACAGTCTGCGAAATTCGAAGGATTTCAGGTGGGCACAAGTGCCGTACTAAAAGGAGTCAGGTCGGCAAAAAACTTAATAAAAAAAGACTTCATAAAAGACAAAATAAATTTGAGAAAAAATGGACTGAGAAAAAAAATGAATTAGTTTTTTTTCTCTAAATTGTACTTGTTAAATGTGAATTTTTTATAAAATTCATTCAAAAGTAAAAACAAATATTAAATGATGAAATTATATTGAGTAAATAAAACACTTTAAGAGATTCAGGTTGGCAGTTGTATGCCGTCATAAAACAAAGATTGATTGGCTTTTGAGTTGGCATTGCCGAATGCCAACCTGAATTTCGCTGACTGCATATATACATGGTGATAAGGAGCTATTTAAGGTATAAGAACTATTTAAAAATATATATTTTTAATAAGAAACAAAAATAAACTAATAATAATTATGATAATAGCAATAATAGTAGGAATAATAATAATAAAAATAATAACAAAAAAATTATTATTAACAACAACAATAACCACAACAACAATAATAATAAAAATTGTAATATAATAATAATTAATAAAAAAAATTTTTAAGAATATATTTTAAGAAACTTCTTAAAATGGCAAATTTTTTATTTTAATAAATTTTTATTGAGAAATATATTATAAGTACAAAAACAGTAAAAAAATTTGTAATTTGTAAAAAAATATCCTTGCCCCAGCTAATCACCTAATAGAATTATTGTTTAGACATGGCTTCAGGGTTGAAAACAACTCCATATTTGGCCTCGTCACTTCCTAAGATAATAAATTAATCTTAATGTATTTGTTATAATTTTTAATTCTAGCATTCTACTAGAGACTTTGACTACCAGAGAAAACCAGAGCATACTAGTAAGTGATTGGGACCCTGGCTTAAAATGAGACTTTTTACAAACCGAGCCCTGGTCCAGGCAAAATTATAAGATTTAGCAGGGGTTTATAGCCAGTGCTAGAAAAAAAGTTTTAATACTTTATGTATTACAATTTTATGCTTACATTTATCATTTATTAAATACCTGCATGTATTTATATATTTTTAAACTTTAATTTTTAAGTATTCTATACATGAGTTTTGTTGTCTAACAAAAATTGTCCAGAATTTAAATCCATAAGCTACTGCACGCCGCAATGCCCTTTATGCATACATATTATGGATATAAGCATTTATGTTTGCCATTTATTTAGATGCTGTCATGCAATATTCTTTTATATTTATATAAACTTGAATATTTATATGGTGTAGTATTTATATGGTGTAGTATTTATATGGTGTAGTATTTATATGGTGTAGTATTTATATGGTGTAGTATTTATATGGTGTAGTATTTATATGGTGTAGTATTTATATGGTGTAGTATTTATATGGTGTAGTATTTATATGGTGTAGTATTTATATGGTGTAGTATTTATATGGTGTAGTATTTATATGGTGTAGTATTTATATGGTGTAGTATTTGCTGAAAGAGAAGATGATCAGATGGATCTGTTACTCTAGCAAGACAAGAAAAGAAGGCAAAATCTTAGACAGATTAGATAAAAACGTTGTATTGAGCAACTTTTGTTAGTAAAGATTAAAATAATTTAGGCATCAGCATGTAGAATGGTAGCAGCTTCAGGAGAAAATGGTAGTATGAAAACTTGAAGAGCCATACATATTGTATGAATGAGCTTTATTTAAAAAAAGAAAATGCTCTAGATTGTTTATATTAGAGAAACAGCATAAAAGAGGAAGGCTAAACCATGATAATGAGCATGATTATGATAATGATGATTATGATGATAATTTTGATTATAATAATATTTATATTTGCATATATATACACAAATTAAATGTAATTTGAATTAAAAATATATACTTTAGGATGTATAAATGTTTATGCAGCCCCGGTCACAAATCCGGCCCCGATTCTGGCCCTTGCTATATTTTATGAAACCCGGTCAAATATCAACCTCGGTCACTTACCAACTACAGCTGATTTCATTAATTTCAAGAACCCTTCCATCTTCTTTCAACCCTTTTTCTATCAGGGGTTTTAACTCTCTTTTAATCAAGACTTAAACTTTGTATTATTATTTTAAATTATTTTTTCAATATAAATATATATTAGTTGTTTAATATATTCTCCTAATTATAATTTTATGGCTTCTTTTTTTTTCTATTTTTGTTATATTTTTGCGATTTCTGTAAAGTTTTATATTTTTTATTTTTTATAAAGCTTCAGACATTGACGAAGAAGAAAATGATGAGGATGAAGTTGAGGAGTTTGAAAACAATCATAATCAAGAGGAATTACGTTTTGAGAAAAAACTTGAACCAGAATATGTAGTATACCAAGGTAATTCAGTAAATCTCGAAGTTCAAACAAATATAAGTCCAGTAACTGTTGCTTGGTATTATGGAGAAAACAAGCTTATATCCACTGATGATATTCAATTAATAACCAAGGGTGACATTCATCGACTTTTTATTAAAGAATCTTTAGTTGAGGATGAAGGATATTATAAATGTGTAGTGCAAAATGATTCAGAGAGGATATCTACAGAAACAACTTTAATTATAGAAGGATGATGTAGAAAGAATAGATGCAGAAACAACTTTAATTATAGAAAGATGATGCAGAGGGAATAGATACAGAAACAACTGTAACCGTAGAAGAAGATAACATAAGTAGTTTATTTTAATAACTATTAAGATAGAGATAAAAATTATGTTACTCCAAAAATTAAATATAAATGTTTTAAGCTGATTTTTGATAAATAAACTTGAATGATAGATGAATGATTTTTGACTAACTATATTGCTTGACAAATGGAGGATTTTTGGTAAATGTGATGAGTGAATTATTGCTGTGATCAATAACGATTAAATGATTAAAAACATCAACTTTGTTTAAATTACCAGGTATATTGTCATAAAAACAAGATTGCTATTTTTTTTTAAAAAAAATTGTAATATGTAAATAAAACTTTTTAAATGTTTTATTAATTGATTTTTAAAAAATATATGTAATATACAAATAAAGTTTTAAATTAAAATTTTGTGAATTTTTAAAGATCATTATTGTTAATAGTATCGTGTTTTTAAAAATAATTAACTTAAATAACATCGTATTTTATCGTGTTATTTTTAGTCGCGTTTCACAATTTTTTCTTTGTCTTTATAGTTTAATAAATATTATTGTTCTGGTTCATCCTTTTATTTTCTCTGGGATAATACACTTTTGATATGGTTTGCTTTTCAAAAATAGTTTTACTAATTTATACCTGTTTGTTAAATATAAGCTGGATTTTTTTTCGTACTCCGTCAATTTTAATGTTTTTTCTCCTGTGCGCTAGTTTTCTTATCCTTTTTTTAGTACATCACTTAAATTTTTTTGTATCATAAATTATAATTACATCAATGTTCTGCTAATCCAACATTCATATATTCCTTCGACAGAAAATGAGATGCACAAACAGAAAGATTCCGTTGTTGATAAATTATTGATTTGCTTATGTTTGAATCTAAATGCTCAGGCAAATTATGTTGGTGTTTCAGACATTGATCTTTAGCCAAGTCTAAAATATCAACATAAGTTTTGATGTTTTTGACGTTTTGTAACCTGGGTGGAGTACACTTACATCAAATGGTAACAAATAAACCTCTAACTTGTGTACACCTTCACCCACTCAAAATATAAGGGCAATAAATTATGAGTTTTACACTGTTACTGTTTTTATATAAATAAAAGTTCTTCGACATGAAATTTTATCTAACAATATTTTCGTATTCTAAAAATTATGACCTTATTTAGAACTTTTTCTTCTAAGAGAAGGTAAAAACTTAAGTTTCAACCCAGTGTTTGATATTATATCGAGTAAATAAATATATATATATATATATATATATATATATATATATATATATATATATATATATATATATATATATATATATATATATATATGCAGGTTGTTAAATAAGAAGTAAAGTTTGTAATGTATTAGCCATTAGTTACTTCAGGTATCTTTTGATAAACTTTGACTTTTAGTTCAATAAAACCAACAAAATCTTGCTGATAAAAAGTGCTCTTAAAAAGATTTTTGAATATTGAATGTATTACTTTTATTTTTAATCTTTCACTCATGTAATTCTCTTTTCTCTAATATGTAGTTTTTTCTGACCATCTAACATTAGCAAAACTTACCAGTAGGGCTGCCAATTGGAACTTTTTTTAAAAAATTTCAAACTCAAACTATTTAGGAAAAAAGTTCGAACTTTTTCGAACATTTTTGAATTTTTATTTATTTGAAATTTAAAACAAAAGGGTACAAATAAAACCCATAACTGTAAATTTATTTATAAATACTTTTTGTTTGCTTATAAAAAGTAAATGCAAGGTATCATCCTGCAACCAGTTTCTATTTCTATGCGAAAACAATCCAAGGCCAGAGAGCCCTTTCACGAGGTCATACCATTTAAAAATCATATATTTTAATAAAACATTTTCGGTTCTTTAGCTAGAGTCAATTTTTTGTTATAATTTCTTAAATCGTTACCCTTTTTAGCTTTTTTATTAATATAGAGTCTACCTTTGTAAACTGGAATATTCTTTGAATAAGATTAATTTGCAAAATTATCTATATTATTTTTTTTTTTAGTTTTGTTATCAAACTGATTCCCTTGATTTAAAACAACTGGGTTTAACAATTTTTATGTACAAATTTATTACTTTATTACCTTGATTTTTATTGATTTTATTACATTTGAGAATCTCTATTTTGTGTTTATTTTTAAGTGTCTTGTAATAGTGCGTGTTGAGGCACATTTTTCTCGTTTCAACTTTTGGCAACAAATGAAAATACTTCTAAGTTTTAGATCTTCTAGATGTGCTAACGCTGAGTAGCCATTCTTTGTTTGAACTTAAAACTCTTTATAACTTTAATTTCAAACGTAAATAAACATTGGTCAAATGGTGAAAAAGTACCAGCCACTGTTTAACTACTTTTTAATAGGAAAAAACCAATCCTACGTTAAATGAGAAGGGCCCTGCAAATCGATTCGATTCAATTAGCGAACCAAGTGTTGCTTTGATTCGAAAAAAATAATTTTTGAGTGTTGTTGTGTCTTTGTGAGTGTTGTTTTTTTTTTGTTTTTTTGTTTATATTCAGTGCTAAGATGCCATCAAAATGTTTTAATCTATCTCAGCTAGAATAAAGTAAATGTAATACTGCATCCAATCAACCGCTAAAAAGTTATTCTGGGTCAAAAAAAAATTGAATTCGATTTTTTTCTTTTTTTTTGAAAAAAAGATGCCTAAATTTGGATATTCTCATTTGCTGATTCGATTCGTAAAACAAAACCCGCTTCGACTCGAAATTAGATTCAAAACTAAAAATGCTGATTCGCAAGATCCTAATATATATACATATATAAATTTTGAAAATTTAACATGTCTGCTTAAAAACGTAATCTTTTTCACATATGAATACAAACTTTAAAAAAAAATTTTGGAAAAAAACATCATTGAGTGCTACCAAATGCTACCAAGTGCTACCAAATTTGATTTGATTATTTTCATTTTTAGTCTAAAATATGTCAAAATTAGGATTTTGTTGAAAAATGAAAAAAGATTTGAATTTTTATATCTATAAGAAATATTTGTTATTTGATGCTGTTCATTTAATAGGCAACACGTATTTGACCCTTTTTGGACTTCCCCCATGTATCATTTTGTGTTACTTGTTTATCAACTCCTACCCCGCCCCCTCTTTTATGTGCAGTACTGTTATAGTTAAAAAAGAATCTCCAAGTAATTTTTTGCTTAAAGTTTACTTCCGCTATAAAAAGAATTGTAATTAAAAGTTTTTTTCACGTCACATTGTAGCTTCCCATGTGATATTCGGTGACACTATCAATACCCCTCCCCCATATGGGGAGGGGTTTACCAGAATACAAGTAATAACTGCTTTTATAAATCCTTTTTAAATGATATATTCCCTGAATTACAGAAGAGTTATTTTATTTGGAAAAAAATTATTTTGGGGCTATTTAAATAATATGTGACAGTCTTATGGACAGGCTAATAAAAAACAGAAAAGCTAATAAAAAAGACGTTATTATTTATACTCAGCTAAATCAACGAATATTTGCTTCTTATTAAAATTGCCTACAACTTTTTTGTGATTTTCGACTACGTTAAAAACTTCGTTTCGTACAGCCTCGTCCTTGTACAGCCTTGTCCTAAAGATAAGAAATGTTATTTTAATCTGTTCTAAAAGTTTTTATGATTATGTAGATTTCTTAATTGCCTTTTCAACTAACTTTACGGTTTACTTTTGTAAGTATTTGGAGATAATCGGAAGGTACACGGAAATTTAATATATCTTTTAGTTCTTCTAGATCATTAAATAATTATATATCATTAATTGGTGCATCGCAAGTCTTTGACGCTTCTAACCAAGCTTTAATGTAAATGGCTGAGCTAAAAGTCAAAAAGATTATAGGGTTTTTTAAATCAGAATCGGGTAAATCTTTTTTAAATATTAACATCTTTGGTGCATACAGCAAATGCTTCATCCATCTTGCATGATGGTGAGTACCACATGTTTTCCATTTCTTGGGCTCTTCTCCACCTCCACTAACAAAACAAAGAGTAATGAAAAAATATATAAAAATACAAACAATTTATGCGAATCAATAAAACAATTTTTATTTAAAATAAAATTGCAAAAAGTAATAGTACTTATAGTTTTACAATTAAAAAGTTATCCAAAGATTCGTCTACCACGGAGATGAATTGCTTTCTATTGATCTTCAAAATAACACATTAATTTAAATAAAATGTGGTGTTTCACAGAGTTTTATCTTTGGTCCACTTATCTTTTTAGTATAAACCAACGATCTAAATAAGGCCTCGAAACTTATGAGCATCATGTTTGCAGACGATACCAATTTATTTTCATCAAACAAAGACATTAACAAACATTTTTTAAATATTAATAAAGAAATTATACAAATTTCGATTTGATTTAAATGCAACAAATTAACCTTAAATATTGACGAAACAAAGTTTTCCACTCCTCAACAAAAAAACAAAGTGGATCCTTTTCCACTCCTCAACAAAAAAAGCAAAAGTTTTTTGCCTAATATTTTACCTAAACTTTATATTGATGAAGTAGAAATAAAAAAAGATTCCGTTTTAAAGGTATTTATCCTAGGTATTTATCTTGACGAAAATATGACATGGAAAACTCATTTGGAACGTCTTTACCGCCATCAGAAATATGCAATTCGAATAATATACTTTTTAAATCGTTTTAAGATATGAATGTATTAAACGTTTATGAACTTAACTTGTATTATATTTTATGTTTTACGTTTTTTTGTATGAACAACCTTTTATTATATGTTTTTAAAGATCTATTTACTTTTAAAGTAAAGAATAAATATAGTTTGCGAAATAATAACTATTTAAAAGAACCCTTTTGTCAAACAAAGTTTAACAAATTTTGTATAGATTATCGAGAACCTTATCTCTGGAATAAAATTGTCCAGCCTAATTTAGATTCATCTATTTCTTTTTCTGTTGTTTTTTTTAAAAACAAGTTAAAGAATACTATTTTTTCACCAAATATATTGAAATATTTTTGAGATATTATTTTAACCATTTATTGTTTCAAATGTTTTGGATCATTATTAAAAAAAAAAGCAAAAACTTTACAATAAATTTCTGAAAAGTAAAAACAATGATAATGAAAAAAATTACAAAAATTATAAATATTTTTACCAAGATCTCATTAAAAATGCAAAAAAAAAAAAATATTACAGTAATCAACAATATTAATATTAAAAATATTACAGTAATTAACAAATGCAAATTTGATTGCAAAAAAACATGGTCCATCATCAATGTCATAATGGGAAGAGAAAAACTTAATTCACCTTCTCTATCTAAACGAATTGTTATTGAAAACAACGATATATTTAGCCAAAAACAAATTTTGGAAGAATTTAATAAATATTTTACAAGTATTGGTCCAAATCTTGTAAAAAAAATAATACCAACATCTGTATCATTTAAAACCTTCCTTAAACCAACGAATAATGTTATCATGCTTG